GTTCAACCTAAGCACCTTTCTTCTCAACGTCACCTTCGTCTACAAACATCCTTACTGTTACCTAACAATGTGAAACTTCAGCGATGTCTCTTCCTGAATCCGGCCACTCTTCTGCCACTTCCCAAGGGGGGAATTGTGCATTACTGGTATAGCCTGGACATCAACCCAGAGGTTCGAGCAGATTTGCAGCTGCCTGCACTTGCACCCCCACATGATGAACAATCAGAGGCCCTACTTCACTGCACCTTATGGTTTAAAGACAGACCAGGCCCTGATATGAACTATGAGGAAGAATTATTCCAGCTCAAGGAAATTCAAATTACCCTGACTGACTTGTTATGGGACCCCACAGGTACCATGCTCATCTTAGTCCATCTTCCAGAGAATATGACACATCTCTACCATCATTGGGAAACAGCTATCCCACACATATCTCTCACCAGATCCCCTGACACCTCATGGAAAGACTTAGGCCCGATGGCCAAGACCTGGAGTCAAATGAACCAAGAACAACTGACTTCTATGGGGATCAGCAAAAAGACTATTAATTACTGTACAGCAGGGTACCCTAGGTACCACACAGAAGTCTGTGAGGACCCACTCATCATAGACTGCGACCTTGATATTCCCCATGATTGTTTTGAACAAATGAAAATGGAAACTACGCACCTACCAACTGTCTATGAAGCTGCATTACTCAATCCAGACCAAACACTATTTGTGGACGGTTCAAGATTTGCTGATGAACAGGGACAATACCACACTGGGTATGCAGTCACCACAGGATGTCAAGTATTACAAGCAGCTGCCCTACAACCAACTAAGTCTGCTCAAGAAGCCGTGCTAACAGCCCTAACTGTGGCCTGCAAATTGTCTGAAGGTCTACGTGTCAATATCTATACAGATTCGAGATATGCCCTGGGAATAGCACATGACTTTGGTCTAATTTGGAAAACCAGAGGATTTCTTACGGCTACCGGTACCCCAGTGAAACATGGGGCAGCCATTGCAGAACTGATGGATGCTTTGGAACTTCCAGCAGAGGTGGCAGTACTGAAGGTAAAAGCCCACGGACGGCTAGACTCAGAAGAAGCACGGGGCAATCACTTAGCAGATCAGGCCGCTAAGGAAGCAGCACGACAAGGATGGGAAGTGGACAGAAGAGTGGCCACAGATGCAGTACCCATCTATACTATGCAAACATTGCCTACAGATCTTAGGCTTCTGAAGGAACAACAAGCTGCTGCTACTCCCCAGGAGAAACATAGTTGGAAGGACAAAGGAGCTGTACTCCGTGATGATGTTTACACCATCAATCTCAAGTTTTGCCTACCCAGAAGTATGTACCCAGCGGTGGTCCAATGGGCCCATGGGCCAGCCCACCTGTCAAAACATCTGATGAACTCATTGATTGACAAGTATTTTGAAGCACCAGGCATCACTACCTTAACACAGAATTACTGTAAATCTTGTACTATATGTGCTAAATGCAATCCTGGAAAGATTATAAAGACCGCACCTAATCACCTAGACAAGCCACAATACCCCTTTCAGAGGATCCAGATTGACCATATTCAAATGCCAAAGAGTGGACGTTATGAATATGCTCTGGTCATAGTGGACATGTTTTCAGGATGGCCAGAGGCCTTCCCAGTGACTAATCTCACCGCGAGGACTACAGCCAAGTACCTTTTGACGGAAATTGTTTGCCGATATGGAGTTCCAGAAGTGATTGAAAGTGACCAAGGGACCTCCTTCACTGCCTCGTTAACACGGGAAGTCTGGTCAGCACTAGGGGTGACCCTTGCATTCCACACACCATATCACCCACAGAGTAGTGGTAAGGTAGAGTGCATGAATGGCACTTTGAAAGCCAGAATGCTTAAAATGTCACAAGAAACTAACATGCCCTGGCCCGAGAGTCTCCCACTAGCATTGTTTAGTGTAAGGTACACTCCTAGGGGAAAATATAGCCTATCACCTTATGAGATTTTGTTTGGTACAGCACCCAGGTTAGGTTGTTACTTTCCCCAACAGCTTCAGATTCAGTCAGATGCTATGGTAGACTATGTGACTGCCCTCTCACATGCCTTGACCAAAATACATGCCCAAGTGTTTTCTTCTATTCCAGATCCTGAGTCGAATACAGGTACACACAAGCTGCTTCCTGGTGATTGGGTTATGGTCAAGAAGTTTCTCAGGAAACACACCCTAGAACCAAGATTTGATGGCCCATATCAAGTGCTCCTGATTACAGCAACGTCAGTTAAACTAGCCGGGAAGAGTTCTTGGATACACGCCTCACATTGCAAAAAAGTGCCTGCTCCAGAAGAGGCTAATCCTGCTGAAATATGAATTTATTATGTGTCTTGTGTTTTCTTATGCTGCTACACTTTGCCTGGGCCCAACAAGTGGCCATAACCAAAGATAATCATGTTTACACTTTCTGGTACAATTCTTCTAACACAGATGTATCTACATACACCTTTGACTACTGTGACATAGTTGTTTGCACATTTCCACAGACACAATATGCAGCCATATACAAAGACATACCTAACAAAAAGGATCCATACATTTGTGTGACTGGAGGAGTTTGGGGACACCACTGTAGTTCATGGAAAGCTGCCGGGTGGAACACGGGTAGACCATGGGGCTACAGACCTCAGATTGCATTGGACAGACTTGACAAAGACGGGAAACCACTACTCTCTAGAATCACCCTGAGTAAACCCATAGGGTCAACTCCCATTAAACTTACCTTGAACATAGAGCACCCCAGCCCAAAGGATGCAGGGGAATATGTAATGGGAATGTACTGGAAGGGAGGTGGCTCACATAACACACTGGGGACATTTTATCTATAAGACATGCTCACCTCACCAGACTGGGTAGGGACCACACACATGACTATTAACCCGTTAAAACCACATATTAAGACTCTACATGACATGGTAGCTATAGCCAACCCCACCTTTGAAGACACTATGGCAGTGGAAACTGGGTTTTCAGACACTAATTTGTAGCTAGAATGGATGAGGTATCAACTCGCACAATAAGACTAACTGCTATGTATGTGGAGGAGCCAGGCCCCATCTGGGCACGGTACCTCTAAGTTTACCTCTTGAAATAGAACTATGTGTCTTAAGCCTCTATGCACAGTCCACCACAAATTCCTCAACATGTGAATCATGGAAGAGAGTTTACCCAATCACTCATGGACATGTCAAGCCAACTGATGGAGTCACAGTCTATCCAGGTAATTACACATGCTATTCAATACCTAAGAACACTGGTGTGTATCTGGGCAAATTCCCATCAGGATACTGCTCAACTTACCATAGTCCACCTGTATCACTGTTAATGAATCATACAAAGACAATCGGTGATATCTATTGGTTATGTGGTGACAAACAATTGAGGTCCCAACTAGCTGGGCAATGGTGGGGGGAGTGTGCCCTAACCAAAGTTATAATGCCTATCCACATTATTCCAGATGGTAGTCATAACACACTAAACCTTACACACGTACATTCTAGAACCAAACGAGAGGCTCCCATCCAAGGGAGCTTTGACCCCCATGTGTATATTGATGCCATAGGTGTGCCAAGGGGGGTGCCTAACGAATTCAAGGCAAAGGATGAAGTGGCAGCAGGATTTAAATCCTTAATTCCAATGATAACTGCTAATAAGAATGTCAATTGGATTAATTACATCTATTATAATCAGCAGCGCTTTGTTAATTACACAAGGGATGCCCTACAGGGCCTGGCAGAGCAATTGCAAGCCACTACCCAAATGACATTTCAGAACAGAATGGCCCTAGATATGATTTTAGCTGAGAAAGGGGGTGTATGTAAAATCCTCCCTGAAACTATGACATGCTGCACATACATTCCAGACAACACTGGACCCAATGGTAAGGTGACTATGGCCATAGAGAAGCTAGATAGTCTTTCTGATGAGCTAAAGAAGAATTCGGGAGTCACTGACACTTGGGACAGATGGTTTGGGTGGATGAATGGTTGGCAAAGGACCCTCTTCCAGGTAGGAACGGCTGTTCTTATAATGATTATCATCTTCTTATTCTTAACCTGTTGTGTGCTCCCTTGCATAGAGAGGTACTTACAGAAAGCAGTAGGGAAGACTATAGATGACGTGACCCCTACTTTCCTACACCAAGACATCACAGACCTTGAAGATGACACCCCACATACACCCCTTCAATCACATCAGTTTAAACAGACAACTGCATTTCTGTAGGGACAGTGTAGGGAAAGCGTGTGCCTTTACAGGCAAGTCTCACGTGCGGAGATGTGGTGGACTAGCTACTGCGGGTTACCCACGGAGTGAAGAGTTTGATGCTTGAGAAGGCAGATGAGCTGCAGGCAGCTAGGGATACACTAGGGACAGTAGCAAGTTGTCATAGTAAACAGCCATTTTAGGGGGTACTGTTGTGGAAATAAGGTCTGCAGATATTTCCTAGTTAATGAAAATGTCTATTTACTCATTTCACTATATACAATATAAGCTATGCACACATGTTTTAATCAAGATGGCTGCTAGAAGCTTCTAACTTCTCCTTTCCTCCCCCTCCCTATAACACCGACTAACTACCTCGTGTAGCAAGATGGCGCCGGGAAACCGTGGGAGACCCTCATGGCCCTGGTGACATCACCCTCAGTAGGCAGAGCATTAGAGCGACCACTTAACACCTAACCAATAATTGATGTATTATTCCATGTTATCTCTGACAATGCTTATGATGTAATTTTTGCTTTAAAATGGACCTGCCGTCCCCTCTGAATAAACTTTCCTCAAGTTATTCAACAACCTGGAACCAGTGTCTGGTGTGAATTACTTCAGGGAGCGTGCACGCATTGTTTCATTGATTTGGCCAGGGGCAGATACACAAAGAAATAATCAATACCTTGATTGATTTTTCCATTTCAAAAGTAAACTTGTTTTCCTGGCACTATAGCTTACTCCTTTGTCAAGGACCACCTCTGTGGTGTTAAAGGGGTTAATAACTATCCCTTCTATCACTTACCTGGGTCCAACACCAATATCCCTTGGCGCTGGCTCAGCTCCGCCCACGCTCCTCCTCTGCCGCGGGAGACCTAATGCGCATGCGCAGCAATTAGTATTTCCCCATAGGAAAGCATTATTCAGTGCTTTCCTATGGGGGATTCCGGTGACGCTGGAGGTCCTCATGCATAGCATGAGGGCGTCCAGTGTCGTTTATGCGACGAAAAGTTGCCTTCAAGCCCGAAAGTCCCTCTAGTGGCTGTCTGGTAGGAGGAGTTAACCCGAGCAGGTAATTATTGCAGTTTATAAAAACTACAATAATTACCACTCTAGGGTTAAGGGTGATGGGAGTTTGCACCCAGACCACTTCAATGAGCTGAAGTGGTCTGGGTGCTTACAGTGTCCCTTTAAATTCTCTGGATTTGCTCCAGATTTGAGCCATCCGGTGACATTTCAACTGGCTGAAATCCGCACATAATTCAGGCCTGTTTCCAAATTGCATGAACAATGTCTGAATTTTGAAGTCTGAATGGTCCTGTACAGCAGCAAATGGTTTTGCCCCATTGGGTACGGGGCTATTGGTACTTTAGTGCATAACCCTATTTGCAGTGGCAGAACTCATTTAGAGAGTGTCCTGGTGAAGGGAAGTTGTGGGCCCACTTCTTGTGCAAGAGTGGTTAAAAGGTAGATCCCAATTTGTCGTACATCTCCAATGATGCTATACCAGCTAGGAATCTACAATTTCCCCATCCTTGCAGGGTTTGTATTTGTAAGCATGCTTCTGCATAGGTTATATGTGTGCATGTAGCGGTGTATTTGTATGTACTGTTGCCATTGCATTGCAGTGGTGTACTTGTGTGTAGTGTTTGTGTTAAATGCAGGGGTCTGTTTGTACGTAGTGTTGACTTTCAAATGCAGGTATGCCTGTGTGTAGTATTGGAGTTTAAATGAAGGGATCTTTCTATATAATTTTAGTGTTTTAATACACGGGTGTGTTTGTATGTAATATTTGCATTTGATTGCAGGGCTGTGTTTGGATGTAATGTCTTTTAAATGGGAATCATTTAAACTAGATCAACAACAGTCTGTTCTAGGGGAATATTTGACAGTAAGCTCCAGAAGCTCGGTATGAGGGAGCCCATGTATAGTGCAAGGAGATCCGTATGAGGGAGCTTCTGTATGTATAGTGGAGGGAGCTCTGTATGATGGAGCTCTGTATGTTAGTGCAGGGAGCTCTGTATGATGGAGCTCTGTATGTATAGTGCAGGGAGCTCTGTATGGTGGAGCTCTGTATGTATAGTGCAGGGAGCTCTGTATGGTGGAGCTCTGTATGTATAGTTGAAGAAGCTCTGTATGTATAGTGCAGGGAGCTCTGTATGGTGGAGCTCTGTATGTATAGTGCAGGGAGCTCTGTATAATGGAGCTCTGTATATATAGTGCAGGGAGCTCTGTATGTATAGTGCAGGGAGCTCTGTATGTATAGTTGAAGGAGCTCTGTATGTATAGTGCAGGGAGCTCTGTATGATGGAGCTCTGTATGTATAGTGCAGGGAGCTCTGTATGATGGAGCTCTGTATATATAGTGCAGGAAGCTCTGTATGATGGAGCTCTGTATGTATAGTGCAGGGAGCTCTGTATGATGGAGCTCTGTATGTACAGTGCAGGGAGCTCTGTATGATGGAGCTCTGTATACATAGTGCAGGGAGCTCTGTATGTACAGTGCAGGGAGCTCTGTATGATGGAGCTCTGTATGTACAGTGCAGGGAGCTCTGTATGTATAGTGCAGGGAGCTCTGTATGATGGAGCTCTGTATGTATAGTGCAGGGAGCTCTGTATGTATAGTGCAGTGAGCTCTCTATGATGGAGCTCTGTATGTATAGTGCATTGAGCTCTGTATGATGGAGCTCTGTATGTATAGTGCAGGGAGCTCTGTATAATGGAGCTCTGTATATATAGTGCAGGGAGCTCTGTATGTATAGTGTCGGGAGCTCTGTATGATGGAGCTCTGTATGTCTAGTGCAGGGAGCTCTGTATGATGGAGCTCTGTATTTATAGTGCAGGTAGCTCTGTATGATGGAGCTCTGTATGTACAGTGCAGGGAGCTTTGTATGTATAGTGCAGGGAGCTCTGTTTGATGGAGCTCTGTATGTACAGTGCAGGGAGCTCTGTATGATGGAGCTCTGTATGTCTAGTGCAGGGAGCTCTGTATGATGGAGCTCTGTATTTATAGTGCAGGTAGCTCTGTATGATGGAGCTCTGTATGTACAGTGCAGGGAGCTTTGTATGTATAGTGCAGGGAGCTCTGTTTGATGGAGCTCTGTATGTACAGTGCAGGGAGCTCTGTATGATGGAGCTCTGTATGTATAGTGCAGGGAGCTCTGTATGATGGAGCTCTGTATATATAGTGCAGGGAGCTCTGTATGTACAGTGTAGGAAGCTCTGTATGATGGAGCTCTGTATGTATAGTGTAGGGAGCTCTGTATGATGGAGCTCTGTATGTATAGTGCAGGGGGCTCTGTATGATGGAGCTCTGTATGTACAGTGCAGGGGGCTCTGTATGATGGAGATCTGTATGATGGAGCTCTGTATGTACAGTGCAGGGAGCTCTGTATAATGGAGCTCTGTATATATAGTGCAGGGAGCTCTGTATGATGGAACTCTGTATGTATAGTGCAGGGAGCTCTGTATGATGGAGCTCGGTATGTATAGTGCAGGGTGCACTGTATGATGGAGCTCTGTATGTATAGTGCAGGGAGCTCTGTATGATGGAGCTCGGTATGTATAGTGCAGGGAGCTCTGTATGATGGAGCACTGTATGTATAGTTGAAGGAGCTCTGTATGTATAGTGCAGGGAGCTCTGTATGATGGAGCTCTGTATGTATAGTGCAGGGAGCTCTGTATGATGGAGCTCTGTATGTATAGTGCAGGGATCTCTGTATGATGGAGCTCTGTATGTATAGTTGAAGGAGCTCTGTATGTATAGTGCAGGGAGCTCTGTATGGTGGAGCTCTGTATGTATAGTGCAGGGTGCACTGTATGATGGAGCTCTGTATGTATAGTTGAAGGAGCTCTGTATGTATAGTTCAGGGAGCTCTGTATGATGGAGCTCTGTGTGTATAGTGCAGGGAGCTCTGTATGATGGAGCTCTGTATGTATAGTTGAAGGAGCTCTGTATGTATAGTGCAGGGAGCTCTGTATGTATAGTGCAGGGAGCTCTGTATGATGGAGCTCTGTATGTATAGTGGAGCGAGCTCTGTATGATGGAGCTCTGTATGTATAGTGCAGGGAGCTCTGTATGTTGGAGCTCTGTATGTATAGTGCAGGGAGCTCTGTATGTATAGTGTAGGGAGCTCTGTTTGATGCTGCTCTGTATGTATAGTGCAGGGAGCTCTGTTTGATGGAGCTCTGTATGTACAGTGCAGGGAGCTCTGTATGATGGTGCTCTGTATGTATAGTGCAGGGAGCTCTGTATGATGGAGCTCTGTATATATAGTGCAGGGAGCTCTGTATGTACAGTGTAGGAAGCTCTGTATGATGGAGCTCTGTATGTATAGTGTAGGGAGCTCTGTATGATGGAGCTCTGTATGTATAGTGCAGGGAGCTCTGTATGATGGAGCTCTGTATGTACAGTGCAGGGAGCTCTGTATGATGGAGCTCTGTATGTACAGTGCAGGGAGCTCTGTATAATGGAGCTCTGTATATATAGTGCAGGGAGCTCTGTATGATGGAGCTCTGTATGTATAGTTCAGGGAGCTGTATGATGGAGCTCGGTATGTATAGTGCAGGGTGCACTGTATGATGGAGCTCTGTATGTATAGTAGCTCTGTATGAGGAGCTCTGTATGTATAGTGCAGGGAGCTCTGTATGTGGAGCACTGTATGCAGGGAGCTCTGTATGTGGAGCTCTGTATGTATAGTGCAGGGAGCTCTGTATGATGGAGCTCTGTATGTATAGTGCAGGGAGCTCTGTATGATGGAGCTCTGTATGTATAGTGCAGGGAGCTCTGTTGATGGAGCTCTGTATGTATAGTTGAAGGAGCTCTGTATGCAGGGAGCTCTGTATGATGGAGCTCTGTATGTATAGTGCAGGGAGCTCTGTATGATGGAGCTCTGTATGTATAGTGTAGGGAGCTCTGTATGATGGAGCTCTGTATGTATAGTGCAGGGGGCTCTGTATGATGGAGCTCTGTATGTATAGTGTAGGGAGCTCTGTATGATGGAGCTCTGTATGTATAGTGCAGGGAGCTCTGTATGCTGGAGCTCTGTATGTATAGTGCAGGGAGCTCTGTATGATGGAGCTCTGTATGTACAGTGCAGGGGGCTCTGTATAATGGAGCTCTGTATGTATAGTGCAGGGAGCTCTGTATGATGGAGCTCTGTATGTATAGTGCAGGGAGCTCTGTTTGATGGAGCTCTGTATGTATAGTGTAGGGAGCTCTGTATGTTGGAGCTCTGTATTACAGTGCAGGGAGCTCTGTATAATGGAGCTCTGTATATATAGTGCAGGGAGCTCTGTATGTATAGTGCAGGGAGCTCTGTAGCCAGGCAGTAAAGCTGGGCTAGTGTTGAAGAGGCAGAGTAATAAATGTGAATAAAAGCAGGCTCCAGTTGTGTTAAAATAAAATAAGAAGAGCTAAAAGAAAGTGTGAGTTTGGAGGATGTGAATGGGAATCAGTGAATAAGAAGATGGAGTGAATGTGAGAGAATGAGCTCCATTTGTGAAGCACATTGATTGCTTGAAAGAAGCTCCAATGTGAAGCTCTGTGAGAGCAGTGAGTGGGAGCAGCAGCCAGTGCTGACGGAGCCTGGGAGAAGGATAAGAGGATCTTTGTCAAGCTGCACTTCCGGCCTACGGCTGTAGCTCCATGAATCTGCCCGATCCCACGATCTCGGAAGCGCAGCAAGGAGGAGCCTGGGCAGGTCTTGGATGGGAGACGGTTGCGAGTAGGTTACGGTTACAGTGGCTGCGAGAAGGTTACGGATACACCAAGACCAGCCGGGTGTTGTAGGCTTATTTTTGCTTTTTCGTTTTCTCTCCCACCACAAGAGGGCGATCAACTCAATGCAATCTTCCATTCACTCTTTTCTGAGGGTTATTCATTTAGTATTGTGTCCTTAAAGGCAAACACACTCATTATTATTCACTCAAATCAAAATTCAAAGTCAATCTCATGTTTAAAGGGTTACTACAACTCATTTACTCCCTAATCACTTTTTTAAACATTTCTGACTTACGCAATACGTTTCTTTAGATCCCTCATCTTTTTCTCGTGAAAAATGTATAAAAAAAGTGTAGAATTTAAAATACCTCCATTTTAGTAACATTGACATCTTACTGACCCCCAAAGGATTTTTATTTATTATTTAACTTTTTAGAAAATTTTTTTAACCCCTTAAGCACCGGACTGTTTTGTCCATGTTGTACATTAAGGACCAGGGCTGT